ATGACTATGGATCCCTCCATCTGTCACCTGCACAGGGAAAACACAGGGTACAGCCATCCTAGCAGCACAGGTAAAGCAAGGAAAATAACAGATTCTCCCAAAGAAATACGTGTTTCCTCTGTCTCAAGAGATACTTTAAATTAATATTTTACTTAATGCAATGCAATGGAATAAGAGCATTAACAAGCTCAATTGCTTTGATTCAGCAGCCTTCATGTAACTGCCTAGGCAACACTAACTCAACAATTTTCTGTCTGTTGCCAAGCTAGTGTGAAGCAGGTAAAATTATAGTAGTTCAGAATAACAAATACTTATAAGTAAATACTCATATATATGATTATTAATGATACTTCAATATTTATCAAGTGCATATACCATAAATTGCTATATTACATATATATGTACACTTTATATTTATATATTTTATAGATATTTTTTAAATATATTTATATATATAGCTTTATATTATACTTCAACTGCTGTCTGGAAATAAAATATTAGATGATAATTAACACACTAAAAAAAAAATCTTCCTTGATTAAAAGATTTGCTTCCCAAGATTACTACTTTAAATGTAAACAAGACATAAAACATAGCTTCAAAGATTTTCTTTGTCTCCTCTTATATTACATTATAAGCTAGCTCAGAGTCAGTCATTACTGTTTACTCTTGTCCTCTGAGAATAAAGAACATCACAACCTAACTGGATTAGCTATTGATCACCCATAAGAAGGCAGCCACTTGTGCAGGGGCTTGGCTCAAAAGGGAAAAAAAAGATTAAAAAATAAAACCACAAGAAAAAAAATTCCCACTAAGTAAAAGCATTTTATGCTCCTTTCTGTGATATCCTTGCATCACACAGAAGTGTAAAAATGGGACTTTTAAAGTTTCTTAACTGGTTTACTCATGAACCTTTGATAGGAGAAGCCTAATGTCTGATCCCGAGTTCTCTCTGAAATGGAAACTGAATTCTTCTCAGGATCCAAAGCTCAGTGTTTTCCAGACATCCATATTAGAGGAATTAATTCTGCCCAAAATTCCCTTTTAAAACGAATCTCCGAACCAGTTACAGAGCACAGGAGACACTGACCTAACTTGTGCCTAACCAGAATTGTCTCTTCTCTAAAAGAACAATCCTCTATGATTAATTATAATAAACTCATCATAGTGTGCTACATATCCCACCAAAATTTACTTCAAACTAAGAAATACTTTGCTGAGAAATTAGTATCTTTATAAATGCTATAGCTTTTTAACTAGTTTTCCCCCCACTGCTTTCTCCCGTGCAAGAAATGGCTGATTTTCTTGAGACTCATGGTGGCAAATAAATAATCTGAATGCTCTACATTGCCACATCCAGACATACCTCGGTTTTGGAGGGTATGATAACCCTCTTCCTGCTAAGGTCAGTAAGTCTTCTTCCACTGGAATTACAAAATGAAACAGCAAACAGGATTCTCTGTTCCCAGACAAAGGAGCATCATGACCTACATAACTTACCCAAGGCTGTATTTTTCTCTAAGGTACAGTTACTGTTTCCATCTCAAACTCTGATATCACTTCATCATCTTATGCTGGAGGGATGGAAATGGTTCATGTCCAAGCAATTTCAGTGTCAGAATGGCACTGAGAGCAAAAATGAGGTACTTTTAAAGTATAATATACATAAAGAGAGTATAATGTGTAAATATGCTACATTGCAAGGGGAATACCAAACAGGCAGTCACCAAAAGCAGAGTATCAATGCACGTGGTACTGTACCTCTTTGGGATATAACAATGGCAGAAATGAGTGTTGCAGGGTCAAAACATTGGAAAAAATATATTGTGTTCTCCTCACTGCAGAAATCATTGACCGAGACAAAAGATCAAGTGCATCACTCTGTGGCAAAGCCAAGCTGTGGAGACTGCAGGATATCATAAATAAATGTAAAACTGTGAATTTAACACATCCCAGTGAAGAGTATAACCAAGAAACTAAATGCAGACCATGATTTCAGCAAAAAGTGCTCCAAAAACGTCATTTAGATTTGTTTGTGTATAAAAGGGGCATAGTGTTACACAGGACAACCCAGGAAAGATGGAATCGAGAGTGTGAAGATCCAGCAGACAGATTTAACAAGTCTTTATAGTCCAGGAATAATTTTCAATTGCAAACTGAAAGCCTCCCTGAGGTTAAACATTCACATAAAGGAATCTCACAAAAAAGACTCTCTTTTCTTGGGTCTATGATGAAGAAAGTACTCTTTTTTTTACAGGTCTTGCATGAAATTCTCAGAAAACAGATTTGAGACCACCTAATGTATGTATTAAAAAAATGAGAAAATAGTATTAAATGGATATAGGTAATATTCTTCTTCTCTTTAAAGAAAATATTAGCTGTACCACTTGTTCCAAAAGACAGACCTTCATAACAACTAATTTTGGTATCAAGCAGCAGTTTCATTCTTGATGATTAAGAAGTTCCTAGATTTTTGTTTCCTACTTTCCACAGTAAACTCAGAGAGTGAAATCTTTCCACTTAGAATGCAAACAATAGTCTTTGAGACTTAATATATGCAAACTTAGACACTTCATAACTATAATTGCTTCTATAGTTGTTTCAGCATTTTGTGGAGCAAGTTATTTTCTGCCCATGTACTCACAACTGCTCAGGTGGGCACAGAAGAGTCAGAGAGAAGATTCTGTGCCCAAGTTCAAAGCTGCGGTATGTGACAGTTGCTCACTCCTGTCCCTCTGTATCACTGGCTGGCTTTCTACTAATAAATAGCAAGCACCTTGCACTAAGCAAGACCAGACTGGAAGGGGCTCTCATCTACTGGAAGGTGTCCCTGCCCACTGCAGATGGGCTGGACCCAGATGGTCATTAGGACTCCTTCCAATCCAAACCATTCTGTCATCCACAATTTCCATCCATTTCAAACCTCAGCAGCCAAACAGCAAATTCTAATAAAGCAATTTCGCAAAACATTGCCTAAAAAATGCAGAGCATCAGATTCACAGGAAAATTGACAATATTATTCTTCCATAGTTCCAACAGATTTCATTTATGGCAAGTGAAGGCTACCCCATGTTCAGTAACTCTGAGTAAGCCTTACAGTGATTGAGATAAAAATCATTATTCATGCTTTCCAAAATTATGTATTTGCCCTGACAGGTAAACTGTTCTGTAAAAGCCTTGTCATCACTGGCTGTGTTTTTCATTTTTTCACCTGTCACCGTAACAAATTTATTACCAGCTGTTTTGTGCAGATTCATCAATCCTTTAAATCAGATTATGTGCATCACTAAATTCACTAGACAAAAATAACTGTCTATACCTTTGAGCTGCAAAGAAATAGAAAATGGAACTTGGAAACATCTAAATATAACCTACAAAAAAACCTCTTTATTTCTTATTTTCATCTGTATGTCACCCATATGCATCCTGACATGAATGCCTTGCATTATTAAAAAGGTCTCTTCTAAGGCAAAAAAATCCCTACTTCAGAGAACATTGGTTAAAAATAATTCTCAGGGTTTTTTTTTTCTGTTGTATTCAAAAAGAAAAAAAAATTGAGTAGTTATTTCTTGATAACATTCTCAAAATAAATTATACAATACAAAATGCTTTACTCCCAAAGGAAAAAACGACAGCAACCAAGACTCTCATTAGCATTAGTTTCCAAACAACTAATAAAGGAACAATTCTTCAATTCATCTTACATCCAGTGAAATGGAAGCACTCATTATCTTCTGCAGCAAGTCCAACTTTTAGAACAGGATCATTATTTTGTTTATGAAAAATCTGAGGTACAATAAAAAATTACAGTAGCAGAAATCAAAAGCTAGGCTTCCCAAAAAACAGTAATTCAGGCTAGGCTGTTCATGCCTCCTAGCATCTAGAGACAAAAAAAGCCTCTGGTGAGAAGACAAAACTCCAGAACAATGACAGTAATGAAAAGAATAGTTTGGGCTTGAATGGATTTCACAGACCAGCTGGTCCACCTCTCCACTCAAAGAAAGGCTAACTTGGACATGACATCCCACAGGCCATTGTCCAAAGTCAAATTCTGAATCCCTCCAAGACTGGAGATTCCACCATCTCTCCAAGCAATCTAAGGCAGCAGGGGCTCCCCTGATTGCCACACCACTTGTCACAATTTTCCTGTAAGAAATCTTTTTGTCCTTTTGCTGTTCACCTTCAAGATGAGTTCACCCCTTCCTGCTGCTGACTCTTGTCTAAATTAAAGGCTAGCAAAAGTACTGCTTTTGTTTATAAATTTAAGAGGAATGTTGTCAAATGTGCAATTACATTTTCCATTTCCCATATTATCAGCCACGATATTTATACAGTCCCATAGTTTACCACATCCACACATCTATTTGTAAATTTAAGCCCCTTGAAAAATCGTAGCAAATCTTCCCCTAAAAGCCTCTTTTCCTCAAGTCTCTCCGCTCCATCCCATGCCTTAACCTTTCTCTTCCAAGCAGTCCATGAAGAAATGCCCCAAAAAGGGGGAATAACTAAAAATATTACAGAAGTGACAGAGCTCTATTGCAGCTTTCCAGGCTGAATGTGAAAATAGATCAACAGGAGTCAGAAATAAAGATATTTTCAACTACAAGGAAATACTCTTATTTCCTCTACTTTCTCTACTAGAAAATACTTAACATTTGACCAACCACAGCCCAAAGCCTAGAAATCAGACAAGTGCACACAAAACCAGTATTATTATTATTAGTCTTTTAGCTAATATGGAATTAGTAAAGTATTGAAAGCTGGATAGTGGTTTATGCCTTATATATAGTGGAAAACCTAGCTCAAAATATAGAGGACAGATTTTCAGGTCCCATGTAGGTTTCAAAATTTGCAGAAATTGAGAAAAATGTTTTAGCATAGCAATATACCGCCATTCTAAAAATATGAGAATATTGTCTATGTGAAATTACTCTCTTTGCTACTTAACAGTAGTTATATAACCTCTTACATTTATTACAAAATAGATTTCCACCACTACATACCAGTGTCCAAAAGGCTTTTATTTATCATCTTTAAGTAGCAGATACTATAAAAATAAACCATTACTTAATATTCAGTTACTTTTATCATATAAATTTCTTTTTGGAAACAGGTAACATATACAGAAAAAAATAATTTTCTACAGATGTCCCACAAAGCACAAAACTCTGCATTTGTTCTACTGCTGCAGTAAAAGAAACCATCTCCAGAATAAGGGAATGCAGTCCTGGCAGGCTGTTCTTTCCTCCTGTAAACTGCAGGGCTCTACATGGACACACATGGAATCTTAGTAAGGCCTGAACTGAGGAGAGTGGCAGTCTGGAGGAGGTGGCGGCGGTGGTGGTGGCGGTGGTGGTGGCGGCAGTGACAGAAATGAGTAGGATGAATTGTACATGTTTGGGCCTGTCCACATCATATTCATGTTTGAAGGTGGAGGGTGGAATTGATACCCATCACTGACATAACCAAAATCTGGAGGAGGAAAGGCATACTGTTGCATCATTGGATATTCTTTTCTATAAGGTGGTGGAAACACTGGTGATTCCTGGTATATCCTCCTGTCTGAAGAGTACAGCTGTGGTGGTCTTACTTGGGGCCTGAAAAACCCTCGAGGGCCTGATGGAGGAGGACACACATCCCTGAAGAACCCTCTGCCGTGGTATCCTCTTGCGTAACTTGAAGCAGGCTGTTGCACTGACTGATGAAATTCTTTATTCTCACCTAAAGAATAAGCAAATATAAGAAACCCACATACACACAGCTGTGATATTATTTTGGAAAGATCAAGTTTAGTCTTCACAAATCTTTCAAGGTGAAGTCAAGGAAATCTAAAAACAAATCTTATCAAGAAATAATACTGGCAAGTAGTACATGAAGAATAAAATAATACCAGCAAACCTACTGTTTAGTAACTAATCTTGATTGATTGGAGTAATACAAAAAGGATGATCCTGAGAGTTGCAAATTTAGTCTTTAAAAAAGAAATTTCATCTTCTTTCCCTACAGACTTTCCATTTGTCTAAATGTGTCAGGAACACACGAATTTTGTGTATTATCTGTATTTTGGAAGCTTTTGAAACAAGATTAAAAACAACACATTTTTAAACTAAAGATAAATCAACACAGCATTATACTGAAGGGGTATCCAGCCTTCAGTTCCAAATTGGTATAACAGCATAGACACAGGACACAAGAAATTATTCAAGCTCAAATTAATAAAATTAACTTATTCTATCAGAAGAAGGACAATCTGTACCTCTAGCCAATTCACTTTCAGCATTCATCTTTCAAAGACAAATTTTTCCCTGTACAGCTCACTCTAAGCATATATTTAATGTTCATAGCAAATATACTGCCCCTTTATATAAATATCATAGGAGTTTTAATGGGATTAGAACTATAAAACGAAAAGTACTAAAATGCTGAAGATGCTCCAAAGAGCTGTTAAGAGATTCAAAAAGCTGCAGAACTTAAACCATCAGAAGGATTTTATGGCTGGGAGCAACAAGGTATTCAGGAATATAACAACGCATAAAATCACTGAAATTTAAAAACCCGTGTGAATCTCATCCTTGGCATTAGACTCCATAGCTTTTCAAAGCTGAAAATGTTTTTAAGTCTGGAAAGGTAGTTGGGATGCCAGAATGCCTACTCATTTTCATGGGGGATTAAGAGTTAAGATTCCTTTGGTACAACCAGGCCTCTTGCAAGCATTTAAGTAAAGTATTGAGTATTTTTGTTCATTCTTTCAAATACTGTAACAAACAATTTTAATATGCTCATGTAAACTTTCATCTGAGACCAACCTTGTTCCTCTATTTGTGACGTATCATTGCTGTTGAATTCTACAACCAAAACTGCACACCAATTTGTGCCATGTTATTTACAATAAAAAAAACCCAAAACCACAGCAAATCAAAATCTATCTGGCTTGACAGAGTGCAGCAGTTCCTCCTGTTGTGTTCTCAGTTATGGAACATAATTCAGTAACAGCTTCAGGAAGCCCTAGGCAAAGGCAGGCCTGCAATAAGCTGGCAGGAAAAGGATGTGGTGGAAAACACACATATGCTAGATTAACAGAAACCAGGAGAAAATAACCATCATTAATGAAGAGAAAGTACAGCACAATTCAGATCCATCTCTTAAGGGAAAAAAAACCTGTCAAAACCATAGGGCAAAAGCCAGTCAAAGAAAGACCGTGGCTTTATTTGACTGATATAAGGGAGGACTGTACTGTACAAGAAATATTAAAGGACAGCTATTGATCTCCCACAAATCAAGAGAAAAGGGTTTCAAGCAGGGCACAATGTCTACCAGCTTTACAAAGGAAGAGCAGCAAACTCATGGGAGTCTGAGAAATTTAGTGGGGGAAGCACCATGCTGCAGATAGCTGAAGCAATCTGCTAAGTAAGCAGCAGAAGAGGGTAAGGGATGATAGTCATATTTAAAGGGAGAGGTATAAAAAACATGCAGCCAAAGCAGACCAGTGAGAACAGAAAACAAGGGATGCAGTATGAATTATTCAACCAAAATCGCAATCAAAAATCAAAGATTTGTCAGTAAAGAGGCACGAGAGAAGAGAAAATCTGGTTATGGTAAACAGAGCACAGCTGCAAGCATGCACCTGGAGGAGATACAACAGCAGAAGAAAGGAGAGTAAAGAAAGCTATTCATATTAAGAAAATCTATATACAGCTTCGTTCATCCAATGGCTGCATTAGGTAAACAGAGAGGTTCTCAGCAGGCTACACCATTTAGAGTTATTTAGAAGAAATGAGGAAAAGCTTCCTTTTAGACAGAGGAATAAATTCTCCATCTAAGACCTGTCTCTCCTCCCTTGAATGCCAAAGAAGTGGGTTTCCAAAAATTGCATATGGCCTTCCTCTGTCTTCTCCCGGCACTCAAAGGCTTTAGCTGAACTCCATCCAAATGGTGGCATCTGTTCAGAATCCTCACTGTGTGTCACCCAACACTGTTCTAAGAGCCTTTGACTCTCCTCTGACAACTGCTCTGCTGCTGTGTCACTTCCCTTCCACAGGGTTTCCATTTCAAGAGAATACAACTTTATTTTTCTTCTAAAATAATAAATACAGAATGTAGTCACAAATTCAAACAAATTTGAAAAGTACAGAATTACTATTAACTGTATAAAAACTCAATTACTAAGATAGTTATAAAAGGGCATTACAAACTTAGAGTAACACACAAAAGCATTGACATAGCATTCACTCACTTGATGGAAGTGTTTCTGATCTGACTTTCTTTCTTCCTTGACTGTGAGGCTTCTTTTTCTTCTGTTTTGCCTCCTTTTCTTTCTCATCATCACTGAACTCCAAAACCTGGTTTAAACAAAAATCAGATGGCTTTCAGCACAAGAAAAAAGTTAACACTCCAAAAATTTATCATAACACAATTGATGCATGACTCAGTATCCTTTCTAATTTTCCTGAAAAGAGCAACTCTGTCATCCTCTGACCCCAAGAACAAAGCTAGAAGAGATTGTATTAGTGGCTCTACAAATAAGCTGGGCTAGTTAAGAGCCTGCCAAAAAAGGAATGCCTACCATATAACTAAAAGCAGCAAGTAAGAAAAGCTTAATGGATTAATTACCATGGATTAATTAGTACAAAAATGAAGCCTCACACATCAAAAAGAAGTGACTCCAACAACTGCATACAGTTTACTACAGGGGCTGCCCAGAAATCAGCTGCAACCTGAGGTCTTGTAAAGGGTCTGGCTGTAAGAGACAATTTCAAGCATCAATAGCATAAAATTTAATCTGCACCCCTGTAAACAGCTATTACCTTCACAGCAAAAACTACTTTCTATCAGCTCATCAGCTGTGACAGCTTGGGACAGCATGGTATAAACTCTAACTGCTAGAAATAACCAAAGATTATTCTAATTGAGGATTACAAGATATTAGACGTGTTTTTTCCAAAACAGAGCACACAGACAGATCACACAGTCAGAAGACTGCACACTCGTGTCATCACTGACTTTTCAAGCTTCCTTTGTTCCTTTCTTTAGTGAGGTACAGCAAATTTAAATGAAGAAAAATATTTAAGAAAAAAATCTTTGGAAAAGGCAATGGATCTGTATCTGCAGATCTGACTGCCTGTACTTGGCCAATAAAATTTCATGAGTTCCTACAAACTGAAATTACATATCTAGTTTATCTCCTGGACAACTTTTAAAACATGACTAAAAAACAGAAGAGCTCACAATTAGCCAATAAGCCCATTTGGTATCATCATCACGAGAAAACTGCTAAATTAAAGCTAGTTAAGACTAGTCAGAAGTCTCTAAGTTTTTCAATGCTCTATGGGTAACATACCTACAGTCCAATCCTTATACAACATTTCTAATTCTCAAATTATGATTCTCTGTGAGATTATGTCTACAAGAAAGGAAGGCAATTTACAGCCAGAACTGACAGTCAAGAATTATTTTAGAGAAGTTAGTACCACACAGCTCAGTTTCATTTACAGGAAACAAAATCAGTATTTCAAAATGCATCATCTTCACTCACTACGGTGGAAAAAGCAACATTCCAAGTTGAGAGACTGATACACCATTACAGGACCTATCTTTGAGCACAATAAAGATCATGTCACAACATCTCTCCTTCAAGCCAGAATAACCATCCTGGGATAAGGACTGTGAATGCAAAATTTAACAATGTCTCTAATAGCATCCTTCTGTACAAGTTGTCCAGCAGTGGGATGGGCAAGTTCATGGTGCAATGGGTGAAGAACTGCCTGAAGGGTGTAGTTCTTCAGGGCTCAGTTCCAGGGAGAGTTCTGTTCAATGTATTTATCAATGATCTGGATGCAGCATTTAAAAGCACCATGAGCAAGTCTGCTGATGATACCAAACTGCCATCGACTCTCTTGAGGGACAGGAGGCCTTGCAGAAGGATCTAGACAGTTTGAGGCCCCGAAGAGTGATTAATGGGATGAAATCTAATGAGCCCAAATGCTGCACACCTAGGATGAAGTAACACCAGGCTCAAGTCTAAACTGAGAGAGGAGTGGCTGGGGAGCAGCTCTGCCAAGACAAATCCAGGGGTGCTGGTCAGCAGCAGCTCAGTGTGGGTCAGCAGGGGCTGCTCTGGGACCCAGAGGGAAAAACCCCATCCTGGGGTGCACCAAGCTCAGCACGAGCAGACAACCAACAGAGGTGACTGTCC